ACCACCACCACCACCACCACCACCACCACCACCACCACCACCACCACCACCACCACCACCACCACCACCACCACCACCACCACCACCACCACCACCACCACCACCACCACCACCACCACCACCACCACCACCAGAGGCATGCCGTTTATTGCATGCCTGAATTCGTGCTCCAGAGGGCCCAAGTTGTTGCGTTCTGCATTTTTGACACTTCAAAAGTACCTTATGGAGTTGTCTTCATCTAAGATTCTTTAAAAAAATTACATCTAGAGAGAAATGGAATCTACAAATAGATTAACCTCGTTATTTTGAATGACAAATGAATGAAAGATTTCTATGGCCATCATCAAAAGAATCGAGGCTGATTCTTTAATGATGCACCCGTGTAGAAGAATCGTTCCACCTCAGAATGCTACCGCTTGATCACTCACTAATGGACAATCGCTGGAGAAAGTCGTCTCATTACCGGATTCTTTACCACTACTGTGGATAATGATTAACTTTTTTTTATTTTTGTAGCCATGTATTATTTTAAACCCTGTTAATTTTTTGCCCCGAGTTTACAAAATGTCCTATTTTCAACTTCAACGTGGTAATGTGCAAATAATCATGTTACATAAAATATGCTACTATTGTATTTAAGTAGGCGAAATTTAAAGTCTAGTTGCGCCACTATACAACTAGCAGTGACAATTATTTAACGTTCCAACAGTATTTCAATGCGTTGTTTAGGTAGCCTACTTTGAAATCCACTTTGTATGCAAATGAACAGGGGACGAAACAAAACGGACAAGCAGTCTTTCAAAAGACGCTAACTTTTGACAAACGATGAGAAATTGAATTTTGCCTTTTACAAAACCATAGTTCCCATTACAATAATCAGCATGTTTATTGACGGCCCTTGATTCCAACTCTCTTCCGCTTTCCGAGTTATACTTAAAGTCACACAATTTGAAAGTCAAACGTTTCATGCCAACGTGACGTCCAGATATACCTGAAAGCTGCCGGCTCAGGCACGAGGCACGTGTTCTTCATTTATTTGCAAAAACTACTTGCACAGAGTCTTGTGTCGCGAGTAAATCGGTATTGTTTAAACTACTAAAAAAGATATAGGATATGGTTGAACCAAGCCAAGTGAATAAGACACTCTGAACTCTCTTTCTCACTTAGGGCTCCCACCAAGCGAACTATTTCCATTGGGCATCGAATAATTTTGTTGCGAACACGGCCAGTACGAAGGTGTGTTATCACTGGGGGAGAATTTATCAGTGCTACTTTTACATAAGATTTGGGGGTAGAGATCTCGGTTCTAAATTCATGAATATGTGCATGTAATGATGACTTTTTTCCATTTCATAAAAAGCGCTCTTTTTTAAAGGTGACTAACTTGAGATTGAACAACAAACACCTTGAAATAGTGCAGTTTCACCTTCACAACCGATGAGATTAGGGATAATGAATGCAAATGCCACCCAGAACCATCAGATGAAAAGTGAAACTTTGGCACAAGAAAGTGAGTCACAAAGTTGTTGTTAGGTTGTGAAAAAGGCATTGTCATAGCATTTGACACTGGCCCTCCTTGCTGTCAAGGCATGTGTGCGTGTGTGAGTATTTTTTTTGTCACACGACTGGAACCCTCCCGCTCCTCCTCGCCTTCTTTATCCTCTCCCCGCGTCGTCTGTATCAATGGCCAGATAAAAAGTTGCATGCCATAATGCCGGCAGGCATCTCGTGCCTTTATGGGAGTGAAAGTAAACAAAACAGCTTGAAATGAATCCACCTAACTCGGTCCGCCTTCAGCGCACGCTAAAAGAACACCAGCTTCGCTTTTAGGCGACTAGATGCCACTACGCCGAAGCGTCGAAAAAGGTGGACAACTGCAGTGAACGACTAAATCAGCGGAGAGCCACAATAGAGAGGCAATCGAAAGAGGGAGAAATCTTGGTAGCCACCACAAACTCCGATTCTACAAATCAAAAACAGCCTTGGTGATCAAATCCCCTTCGAGCAGTTGACACACGGAATGCGCTTTTTGTCCTGACGCGATTCGGCTAACGGGAAAAAGTGGTGTTTATGAATCCCATTGCTATTATTTAAGCAAGGCGCACTTTGTGCTGAAAGCTTATTGCCTCATCTATCTTTATTCCGGCCTCCCAGTTAATTAAATGTTACCGGAAGATTTGTAGTAGTTGAAGAAGAGGAAGAAAAGCGACTACGAGAAGCGCCGTGAATGACGCCCTAGAGACAGTGGTACTTAACCATCTAACTTCTATAACCGAGTTATAGAAGGGCAAAAGAAGGTACCACCAAGTGATTCTAAACCTAACTCTGTCCTCCAGACTTTTGAAGAAGGCACACGCCTGACGATGTGCACGACCGGAGGACACAGCCTCCTCGTGGTGAACCTTCCACCACATTAAAGCGTGATAACCGTGCATTTGGAAGCATCTACTTTTTTACCTTTAAACCTAGAAATATTCTAAAGACAGCAAAAGTGAGGTCTTATTTTTGCTTTTTTTACCTTGATTGGAAAGAACACTTTGTGGTGTCAAAAAGGAAAATTTTTAGCTTACATCTTAGCCGAGAATATTAGAAGTGGAAAAAGAGTAGAACTTTCAACTTTACTTATTGTTGGCGATATTATGGTTGACTTTAAGTACCAACTTTACAACGACTTAAATTAGATAATAAAATTTTTAACTCTTCGTTTTTGGTTTTGTGGTCATTTGACTGCTCCGGCATTGTACTTCCGCTGGGCGCGGCATGGTCTTCGGGCCTTACCAGAAGCCTTCTACCCCAGTACTATGCCGTCTTTCGACTTCAGGAAAGGCTCGGTGCGCCATAGTGGTGACAGTGGAAAGCCAACTCGATCCCAGAAGACAATTGCCTTGATTTCCTTTACTGAATGCGAAACCTTAAGGAGATGGGAAGAGGTCATTCGCTGTTGATGAGAAAATCTGTATTGACCCCTAACGGAAAAATTGATTATGACGTCGACCTTCGGCAGCTATCCCAGACTCGTGGTCCATAGAAATGCTATTCACAACAATAGCCGTGAACCATCTGGAAAAGCCTCGTTACGGAGACGTCTACGGTACCTCTTTGAAGATGTCAGTTTGCCTCCTTCATCTCTCTACTACCTCGATAGAAGCCAGAAAGTTATGACTAAGGAGCAGTGAAGTGAGGGCAAAGTGGCAAGGAGGAATAAACGCGAAATCTCATCCCCATGGAACGATTTCAAACCCCATCCATTATTAAATGGGTCTGCCCTCAGGCCAGTGAACTTACGACTAGCGATGGACATACGAGATGACCGGCACATTTCCCCCACTATAGATGCTAAATTGGACAAACCTCTAGATCCAGTGGAATTGCCAGTGCGGTCAACTATCTTCCCACTTGCAGGGAAATTCGATGACTGGTGCAGTTAGTCCATGGGTGATGTCCTCGCAGCACCGACTGCGTTGTGATAGCAGTTGCGCTGCGAGAGGTCGACCAAGTGGAGCGCCGAGGACGACGTTCAAAAGGGGAGGGGGTCTGGGTAACACTCCACATGTTTGTTTAGCTTCGCAATCGTATCACCACCGAGCGGCATGGCCTCCAGCTCATACGACTAGCCCCCAGACCTTCTCTGCAATGGCAATACGTACTCTGCTCAGCGTAGTGTGCCTTTTTGTCTTCGAGGGAGGTCAAGGAGAGCTACAAACTCTATCTAAAACATCAAAGACAACTAGGTTGCTGGCACTATTTTGACGCCCGGAGGTTGACATAAAACTGTTGTCTCAAAGGTGTGCCTCGCATTCTCACCGATCGCATCAAAGTGTTGATGTTGCCGTCCTCTCTGGTGATTGAAAACAACCGAATCACATCCACATTGAAGGCGACCGCGTGAAAATCTGATAGGAAAAAATTGAACGAGATTTCTAATCATCAATGACAATAATACGTATAACTTCTAAAAATAGCAGAAAGCCTAAACGATCCTTGCAGATCCATCACTAGAGTATCCAAATTCATGCATAATGAGGTGCGTTGGAATTACGTTAAAATTTAGCCGTCAGCAGTAAGGAAATTGTTGGGACACTTAAAATAATTGCTTGTTTAAAAAAATCTCGGGAGGAAATGAGTGCCCCTTGCTAGCAGATGCTATCTTCGGGAAAATGTCTACTTAACAGCTTTCCGTGGCAGATTCCTCATCTCTTGTGCGATAATCCACAAGCATACCATACATATAATTTAACTAGCAAGCTGGTCATACATAAATGAAATGTGACACTTGGTTTGTTTAGCTCCGCGTGTTGGTTACGCGGGCACTTAAGGCGCCGCCTTTGTGCATCCACCGGGCTGCAGGGCCTATGGGTCATGCCAGTAGCCACTTTAGCTCTTCTGACCGCCAGTGATACACTTTCGGTCCCAGCATTGTAACTTCTCTCGTCTTCAGGAGTGGCTTGGGGCGCCACACAAAATCTGTTGCTGACCACGCTAGCCTCCATGCTTGATGTGGGAAAGACAATGGACCGTCGCTCAGTGATCGCCAAATTCCACTTAAGTCAATTCATCCATTATCTCCGCTAGCTGCAACCTACTTTTTTGCAAGTATTTAAAAAAAGTGCATCCGAACGGGAGGTTTTTTTCTTGATAAAACTTTGTGCATATTTAAAAGCCGCGCGTCGGCTAAAGGTCACCCTATTAGCCAATCACGTGGCGACCTAAATAAAGACTACCCACCTCACTTCTATTTTCATTTTTAGGCTCCATCCCACAGCAGGGAGTCTCATTAATCGCTCCAGTTACCCTTTCATAGCCCCAGGGCGCGCCTACACCCTGGAGCTTTTTTTTGGTCAACAGGGGTAAGACATTTTGTAGAGTGAAGGCCAACTCAGACCACTTCCACATACCTCTGCTCGAGAGGCGGTGACTCACTTTCAGTGAAATTCTATCTGCCAGGCGGAGGGGCATTTTGTGAAAAATTTGTTAACCTAGTCGAATGGTATGTTTTCAAAAAAAGCAAAAGATGTAGAAAAATAGAATAAAAAACGGAGTTATTTCGAGCTTCGCTTCAATTTGTGGCACTTTTAAAGCTTAATACAGAGTAGAACATAATCTTGTGTAGATTTAAACTTGATTTGTATTTATAGGCTGAATAGGATTGTAACTTACTGGACATTTAAGGTAGTTTCTTTAAAGATAATACTTTTCAAAAAGTTACTAACTGTTCGGCCGCGATAAGAAGACTGTTGTCAAGTAGAGTTAAGAAGAAGTACTTACTCTTGATTTGCAAACCTGAGATCCCAATTAAATGCAGCAGTCTCAAAACTTGCTTACTGTTCGTCTTCGTGAGCGAATATTCCTGCTAGAGTGTGGTTGAAACCCTTTACCGATCTACCGCCTCATCCAACAGTGGAGATCTCGTTTTCTGAAACTATATGGTGGTGAAGTGTATCGCATTACATCCAAGAAATGAGCACTTTGAGGTCACCTAGCACACGCAATGACTTGAAAGCATTAGTACTGTAAATCTTCCGTTTTTGCTATCAAACAAATTTTCCACTGCAGGTCAGGTAGTTTATTGTTCTTGTATGGCAAAAAAAAACCACCAAATGCAATTATCCCTGGAATAAAAACGAACAAAATTTATTTTTACGTCTTGTTCCTTAGCCAATCTGCTTGCGGAACCCGATTTGATGCAACTATTTGCCAGAAGTGGGTGAAGAACACATGTCACATATTTGTGACACCAGACTCAGGTGAAATATCCGGTACTGTAACGCTGGTCTTACCTTCAGAGCATTGCCTCAGCCATGAGTGTCCACGATTTGAACTACTCGGGACCGACTAAAAACCCCCAGAGAACGGTTTCAGGCTGCAACACGTAGTTGGATGCAACTTCATGCCTATTCGATGGCGTTAAGGGTGTTTTTATGGTTGGTGAAACGTTCACCAACACATCGTACTGACATCTTTGCCATTGACCATTCCCCCTTGGATACGGAAAAATTACCATAAAGGGTGATGATGATAGTGGAAGGGCTTTGAGTGGAGGACTGAAAAGGCATCGGAGACGAGGCATTCGATAGCATCCAACAGTCTTGCAAATCCCAAATAAAGCCCCAAAATCTTCCAACCGTTAGTCAGATAAGAAGAAAATTGGTTTAGCTGTTTGTGCTATAAGATATCATTAGGCAAATCAAGCCCAAGTCATTCAGCAATCAAGATAATGTTGACATTTTGTAGACAGTCTTGCCTTCCAATCATTCGCCTCCAACCCTCAAGTCATCAACAAAAAAATAAATAGTGTATTATCTACGAGAGGAAAAAAACAAGCCAGATGCTAGTCGAGATAGCCTCCTCAATTCTGCATAGCATTCATGAAATGTCAAGCTTTTCAGGTTCCCTCATTCAACGATTCATCATGGAAGAGGTTGTACGGAAACTGCGCAGTAGAAGCACAGGGCTGGATGCTTACCTACAAAGCGAGGATGTGAGTCTGTCTGACTAAATTTGACCAAAAAGGGAGCGAAATTGTTTATCCTGATGAAGCGATTTCCATGTATCCGCGTTGTTTGGTTTCCATTGCAATGGCACTTCCATTAGCACTGCTGACTTGGATTTGGTGTCCAGACTGCGTCTATACCACTTCTTCATGCGAATACCTTTCGAGGCACAGTACATATTTTGTTATACCTCCGTACTTGGTCTGACATGTTCTTTTGAAGGCAAAAAAGTGCAAATGGTGTCAACTTTCAGGTGACAAGTGGCCAGGTTGCATCAACTTCCCGGCTAATCAAGCGTCACCGATCCCCAAGCAGGAGACAATCTCCAATCTTCCCCATAAAACTTAGCCTGTAAACCACTCCTACACTACACTCCTACACTCGGGATTATTTTCGTCACAAAACTTGCGTGGTTTCATCTTTTGTCCTACTGTACTCCACGGAGATGGTGGAATGGGGTTATAAGCACTAGACTTTACATGTTTAGGCCAGTAAATAAAGTCAAAAAACATTAACGTTGCTGTCATTATAGCTTCTGTCGGATCGCTGAGTCATTCTGTTGATTAGTTGCCTTATGTCAAAGATAAGCACTTATTTATTAGGTGAAAAGGGGGAAAATGGATGTACATACTCGAGACAGGTTTTGACAAACACCAAAGTGCTATAGAGTAAAAAATTCTCCTCCTTTAGAGCAACGTTTAATGAAAAAAAGAAATGCAAACTCCGCTGATAGCGCTATCTACTAGAAGCACTACTTGTCATGTGCTGACTGCTGGCGTAGTTAATCAAACGACTTGGGGAAGTGGGGTGCTACTCACAAGCCATATAGTAGTATATAAGCGTCATGTATAGTAGTCGTGGTGGAGGGCGAGAAGTGCGACATTTCTTTTTACGTTTTTTCTTTGTAAATTTTATCCAAGATAGGGCTAATGAGTGCAAAGATGGCTTAGACACATTCTTGCCTTGCTGCAGCGATCACTTTAACAAATTCCTTGAGTTTTTTTGTACAAAAGAAACTTTTTCATCTGTACCGAGGGCAGACGTCGGCAAAAGTAAACAGGGTAATTTGTACTCAAAGTGGATCGTCTGGTCTCTTTTTTGGTTCAGAGGAGTTTATACCAGTGGTGAGGGGGTGTTAAAAAAGTTGCTGAAATAATTATTTAAAAAATGCCAGCAAAGTCACTTTATCACAATCAACTAACCCTTTGAAAGTTTAAATGATTGTGTTGACATATGTCTATCCGGAGTTCTGATTTTTCTCCTTCCTTCCAGTGTCACAAATACGTGACACGTGGTCCTTATCAGATTTGGATAACTACTTGCACTGACACCCATGGAAAACTGATTGGCTGACTTTAAAACAATAAGATTAACAATGTTTGGCTTTTAGGAAGCAATTAGTGCAACAATATGATAAAGTATTTGGGCTGTGAGGCCCCAATCTCCTTTGAGACTCGTCATAACAAATTTGTTGGAAAATCCTTATTTTGGATAGAACTGGCAGGCGAACCTTTCATTGAGACGCTGTTCTGTACCGCCATTATATCACCTCGCATCTGAAAATGGAAGCATTTTTGTTAAAAAAGTAGTTTGCCATGAACTAAGGAGTTCATGACGGCGATGGGTATTTCCCTATTAATAATCGAGGTCTACTCTAGAGAATCTTGCACAATGGAGTGAAAAATGGTTTACTAAGGGACTAAGAAAAGTATTTAAAATCTGCAGAAAGCATAAAGTTTCCCCATTGGAAATGGCCTGCTTCAAGTGGACCACTATCCATTGCCACGCATCATCAGAAACTCGACTACAAAGCGCACAGAATAGATGAGGTAAGTTAAAAAAAATATTCCACTTTCAATTTTATTTATTCGAGACAAATCACACGATATTCAGGCATCAGTATCCTCTTTTGAGTTGAACCTTGTCCCCAACTTCGCACGCAGTTACCTTCAAGACGTCGATTCCGTAAGTTGAAGACAAGGTTCCGTTCGCAACCGAGAGCCTCCAGCAGGGACATAGTCTTCCAAGCCAAAGACTGGCGGGCATCGGAACACTTGCAGATCCTGTTTTCCTGAAGCCTGCTCAACCTCTAGACTTGCGCTTATCCAAATCGCCTTCTCGCCGATCTTAACCGCAGTTGGACGTCCGCAGCACTCCTCAACCATCACATTAGTAGCTCCCCCCTTCATGGACAAAGCACCATGGCAAAAGAGATTCTGTCCCAGGCCCTAAATTCGCATAACAGAGTGGATCTCCTTCTTGACACTGCTTGTGTGTATGTTCTGATGACATGATAAGATATGACGTGATATGACAGGCTTAAACACAACTAATTGCCATCATTTCTTCTGTCCCTACGCTTTTTAAAGGAAGTACAAAGTTGAGCCGTTTGTTTTCATTTTAAAATCAGTAGTGCAAATAAACAAAAAAGTTGTCCAAAAACGGTCTTACCAACGGACACCACAATCGGAAGGTGATATTAAAACTGAGTGAGGCCCTACACCTACAGGTCATAAAAAAATCGGCGACACTAAGCATCACCTCGTTTGTTTCTTCCTGACCAACAGTATCGCCATCGGCCTATTATCGTCCAGTAGTCCAACAGCCTCCTTTTTGAGCCAGCCAACAGCTCTCCACACCCAAGGTGTTGTGATGACGGGTCGTGTGGCGACACGGGTGAATGCCATTTTTCAGGCCGCAGGTAGAAGACATGCTGCCTGGAAGTGACTAACGTATCATCTCTAAGTTGAAGTATCACTTGGTAAGTGATAAGAATAATATATACAACAGTCTGATTTGCCGAGAAATCGTTGCAGAAGTCCCCTTTTCTTTCCATAAGGTAGCTAAAGATAAGATCTAATCGAATAGCGTCACGGTTTTAAACGCGCCGACTTTCGATTTTGTGCGGAAGCTTCAAAAATGCCGCCAAATTTTAAGAAGTAGAGAATTTCAAGAGCGGTGGGGGAGGGGGTCGTCCAAACGCAACAGTGGTGGAGGAGTTAACTGGAATTAGTTAGTCGGTTTGATGAAGTGGGCCCACGCCGCGAGCCGCGATCGCTGTGGTGTGGCCAGACGATGGACAGTAACGGTACAACAATTAGGTGATGGACAATCTAACCCCCCCCCCCTGGGCGGTTTTACATCTTAACAGCGGGACAAATTATATCTACTGTATAATTACCCATTTTGGCCGAGTGAGAGGGGACTTTTTTATGACTTTTTTTTGCGCAGATTGAATCTCGGCCACTGTCAAAGTCGGTCGACGGTCGGCCGGAGGAGCAATCACGGGGCTTTCGCACTTTCCGCCTTCAGTACCTTTCAAAATATCACATCGCCTTCAACTTTAAGTGACCTCAGAAAAAAGTGTTGCATATGACACGTGGATGACCATGTTTACGGCCTTATTTACTGGCGATTTGTCCTTCTCTCACGGCTTTTCTTGGCTAGTTTAAGAGTTCAAAAAGGTTCTAACTTTATCGTGTAACAGAGCAATTCTTTTTGACCCAACTGGTGTGTTGCGGACTTCAATTCCTTCCGAAATTTCCTTTCTTCGTACTCTCACCCAATGTTTACCCCCAGAAGGGTGTATGACAAGGCTGTCAATCATTAGCGTATCTTGCATCCACCACCGATGCCTTCATTACCAGGATGGAAACGCCGAGACCGATCTTTATGCTAGACCGAAGTGATCATATGTCACGGGCAGACATGACTGATTAGAACCCCTCATAACCTCTGCATCACCTCGTGTCATTGTCAATCAATGGTCGTTAAAGACGATTACGATTCTTGGTGGGCCCGGACGGAAAGCCATGCTGCCTGTTTCATGAGAATTTGGTCTTACATTTTTCGGTTTGATTAGGCAAAAAAACCTCGCAAAATTTCCGATTCCTTTATTCTCCAAGAGTGGAGAATCAACTGATTGCCCTTTTTGACTTGTCACTGTCATTCCCGTTTTTTTCTCTCTCTCTCTTACCTCTTTATTGGAACTTTACCGCTAGTTTTCAAGTTTGCCTTGTTTTGCTTTCCCGCCGATGATAATTTTAGATGCTGTCATATAAGTGGCGAAAAAGTCAAGGTGTCAAATGGTCGGTCTGACAATTTTGATCAAAATGTGTCCATATTTCATCATTCAGGGGAGGGGTGGGGGTGGGATTGGTATCCTTTAGGATACGCAGTAGCCGGGTCAAGTTTGTTTTTTTTGGATGTATTTCAACCAACCAAAGTGTTTACGTCATTTGTGATACAGCTCCCTGCTGTGTTTTAAACCCCTCAGTAAGCAATACGTCGACCGAACCTGACATGGTTCTAGTAGGCCCATTTGACCAATTTAGTTACTGTTTTATGGATATGGATCCTTTTTTAAGATGTGGGACGTAATGATGGGAGATACCACCTAGGAACTGATCAAAGTGAACAAAGAGAAAGTACGGGTCGCTGATAAGCCAAATAAGTAGCGAGTAAGGTGCCGAAAGCAAGCAGTAGTGCCAAAAGCGGCTGATGAAACAGTTTGCTCACATCCATGTCAACTGGAAATGTAATTGTGATGGCTACTAAGTCAGCGGTATGGTAGCGAGCCTCAAAGACCACCAACTCAAGTGTGCTCCACTCCTTTTATGCGTGTTATAAAAAGCGGCCTCTTTCATATTGTTTGTCGACTGACTGACTGACTGATTTACGATAAGAAATGGAGTTTGTGCTGCAAAGCTCGTTAAGAGAACAAACATATCATTGGTTATTTTTACAATAATTTACTCGTAACACGCATAACACTTCTGAGGCACGCACCATTCCCATTTGATAAGACTGGCCTTGTTTCATGTGCCTTTGTACAGCGGACGGAAAACAGAAATTTCTCCCTTCAAAAGCTGAAAAGCGCGGCTATGACTTATACCTCAGAAACCACTGAGACTGGTCACTCAGTAGGAAGGAAATTTCCTCCTTATTCATGCGCTGCCCTTCCCTCCTGATGGAGGAGTGATTGATGCTTCCTCAGACGTTTCTGCTTGAGATAACCAAGTTGAATGGTCAGGACTAGTCAAACAGACAACACAGAGGCGCCACTCTTAGAAGACAAGGTGACATCTCGCGACCATACTCTTTGTTGTCGCAAAACATACCCAAGGATAGGAGGAGGGTACCGCGTCATTTTCACTCCCCTTATTCACCGGATGATAGTTCCCCATGTGGTGATTACCACCTGTTCGTGGCATCTGACAATACGGACGAGGCATGTGGAACAGACAGTGGAATAGGCAGTTGAGAAGGGAATGTGAGGTGGCTAGAGCTAGGGGCGGAGCCTTCTGCACATGCCAACTTTCGTCTTTCAAATACCACACGTTCTTACTAACCTGGTTGCCTTAAAATAGGAGAAGAAGGATAAATCCCACCTATGGTGGATGTTGGATTATGTGCTTTTTTACTATCAGGCAGAACTATAAAAAGAACTTGTAGAATATCTGATTTTACCTCGTTTTCGAAATGCCAAACTCTGTTCCTGTCATGGGGAGGATAATTGCCTTCAAGGAAGCCGTTTCCTCAGGGCTGAGTCTGTAGTCTTTGTCAAGGAATCATCAACAAGGACTTGTCAGTCCAATAAAGATAAAATTATTATATTACAAGGATATGGTTTGTCTTAATGACTTGACATCTCCTTTCTGGGTATTGGCAGTTCACTATCTCCAAACCTTGCCCCAATTCAGATCGTCTGTGTGAGATCAAAATATGACTTGTTCTCTAAAATGAAATTCTCATCCAACACAAGGGTAATTTTACGATCTTCCTTCGGAATGATTGAATTTAAAGGTTCCATTGATTTCACTGTCGTAGAGAACAGGGTCATCCATGGCAAAATATCAGAACTCCTTGTCCCACAAACAGAAAACACCATCCAGAATGATCTAATTTTTTATGCAGAAGGCACTAAAACCTAATCTGCTCTCTTCACCAACGATGCATGGACGAGCCCAAAGGGTTATTTTTACTTATGCCGTGACAGACACTTCGTTGGCATTTCTTATCTATCTTATCTATTTGGCCCTTGGCCTCCCTGTTTGCTAATTAAAAAGATACCTGCAACAGAATGGGTGGAAATTATGAATGTGCAAAAAATAATCGGTCCAAAAAACAACGAATTCGTGATTAAAATTGCTGCTATTCGCCCCCTCAATAGACGTGCATACGCACGCACGGATGTACGGACGCACACACACACGCACGCACACGATCGGAAGCATCGGATTGGTTGCCCACTTAGTCAGACGATCAAGGCGGCTTCAAGCGCGTGCATTTAGCACTTCGACAGAGCTAAATGCGCCCACATATTTTGCCGCGCATGGACTTAACCTGATTTTGAGAATGCTTTACACTCTGATTGCCCTTTTGTCCCTGACCTCTACAGCCTGGACCGCATACACGCCTACTCCTGTCTCATCCACCTCAGACGGCCGTCAAGCCAGCTTTAAGGTCATCTATGAGTCTCCTACCTCTGTGTGTTACGCAGAGAATCGGCCCTACCTCTGCACCCCTCCGCTCACTAACATCGCTGAAGGTGTTCCAGTTGTCGCCACGTCCACCTGCGGTCAGGATGGACGCCCTGAGAAGATATGTAGAAGTTGGACCTCCCCAAGTAGTCAACAAAAACGCACCGCCTGCGAGATCTGTGATCCGAGGAAAGTGGCAACTAGCCGGGGCGCAGAACGCCTTACAGATCGTCACATTTCCTCCAATCAGACCTGTTGGGTGTCTGGGCGCGTTCCTTTCGGTGGAACTGTGAATTTGACCCTGTCTTTGGGCAAGCGTTTTGAAATTTTCTACATCTCCCTTCAACCCTGTGGCCCCTTGCCCGACTCCATTGCTCTCTATAAGTCCTCCGATTTTGGTCGAACCTGGAAACCCTGGCAGTACTTCTCAACCGATTGCTACCGTGCATTCGGTCTACCAACTTCCAGCGAGTATAGCGCACAAATCTCATCAGCGAACATCCAAGAGGTACTTTGCGTAGCATTGAAGCCTCCGACAAAGTACAACTCCCAGGGTCAGATGTCAAATGTGATTGCTTTCAGCACAACCATCGGACGATCCACTTTGCAGTCATGGAGTCCGGCTCTTATTGACTGGATGACAATGACAGATCTCCAGATTAGTCTTACACGCTTTCCTTCGAGACGTAAATCTAGTGGAGGAGAGAGGGGTTCTGGCGATCCCACGGTCGTGCTGCATCGACGGGATCGAAGCAGTGGGCAACGCAGAGTTTCACAGAAGACTCCAATCTTTAGACTAGGAGGCAGTGGAAGTAGTGGTAGATTTATCCGCGCTGACGAGGAGAGAATGCAAGCTGACGGAAGTGCGTCAAATAGCTCGACAAGATGGTTCCAAGATAAGAAAAAGAAGGCGAAGGAAGAGGAGACGGAGGGAGAAAAAGGCGAAGAAGAGGATGTCGTTTACTTTGCTTTCTCCGATATCACAGTGGGTGGGAGGTGCAAGTGTAATGGACATGCCAATCGCTGTGTGAGGGATCGAATTGTGGAGAAAAATTCCGCAGGTGAGGAATTGATTTCGTGGGGCCCCCTGCGATGCGACTGTCAACACAACACTGTCGGTGCTGACTGCGAACGCTGCGCTCCCGGCTACCTGGATCGACCCTGGGCCAGGGCCACCAACGAAGACGCCAATGTATGCAAGGGTAGGCATTGTGGTGATAGTTTTCGTGCTTCTTTTTTAATCGGGGCTTTTGTCAACCTTGGGGGCACATGTTTTGTGCTTGGGATTTTATTATTACCAACACGCAACCACAAGACTCAAGCAGTTGTTGCCTTCCAGCTTTGGCGTAAGAGACTTTCTCGTTCCTTCTTTGGACCAGGGGTTTTGTGGAGTTAAAGTACTTTAAAAAATTTTACTTATTTGTTTAAGTTCATCATTTTTCGTTCGGGTCAGTGTGCTGTAATCACTGGAAAAAAAACCCACATTTGAAACGCCTCACTCAGCAGCTCAGTGCGTCAGGAATACTTTAAATGAGCTTACAAAGTGCACGGCAAATTAATAAGTCTCGTCTGATTTACGCCCTACCGAAAGTCAAAATTTGTTCCGTTTGTTAAAATGATTTCGTGCTACTAGTTTATGTGCCATAATGGTCACTTGAGAATAGGCGATCAGCCGAGGTTTCATCAAAGTTGGAGTATTTTAAGGTCGGAGATGATACAATCTATTTTGTGCAAAATAAAACGTTATGATTTTAGGGTTTTAAGAGATTGCATTTTTTACAAATAAAGATGCAAAATTTTCTTGATTTCCCACCACCTAATTTCACCTATACCCATTGTCAAAAAACATTAGAAATTGCGTTCTTCTTGACTGATTACTCGCATCATCACGCCTTACATTGTGGCTTCACACAGATTTTAGCAAATTCTGCAGTTTAGAAAATTAATGACCACATTAGAAGGCTGTAAATGACTTGCCATGTTATGCCTACCAACCAAATCATGCCTCCCTAATCGCTCCTCTCCCAAGCCCTTACACTTTTCAGTTCATTGTATTGACACTGGCTCTAACACGTTGTCTGCAGATGTATAATGCATAAATTCTCCCGCATCAATTCGGTGAGCAAGGTGGGTAACAATTGGTTGGAGATGTCGCCTGATAGACCCTGCGGTCTCGAGTTTCTTTGGGTGGGTGCCAAACCACTGCCTACCTAACCACCAGCAGCAGGAGTGATTAAAAGACCAGGAATGGATGAACGGTATGCATGATACCATCTTGCCCTAGGGATATTCTCCACCCCCGCATTATCGTGCACATGCCAAGGCTCACCTACCTACTCGAAAATTGCTAGATTCTGCCGAGATTTTTCCATGATAATAGTAGTTGCCTAGTTATTATGTTTATAGCCTCGATAAACTCACAACCATACGAGGGTTGTTCCTGCCATCATGGAAATGAAATAAGGGAAGAAGGTCCTATTGAATAGGGAATTTTAGAAGGCAGGATTGTTACCAGAGCAAAAGTAATGAAGATTAATAAAAAGTGGAATATTTGAGCGTAAATATGGCTGTATTTTAACATATCACGCTAGGTGCTAGTAGTGTCTCCCGTTAAAGCCAAAGTGAAATGCTTGCCCCGCAGATTGATAACAGGGGAATTATACTGACTCGAGTTTAAAGGAGACAATTTGGGGCTTACGACAAAATTTGGCCTAAATTTGAATTAATTAAATGATCAAATTCCATATAAGTCGAATTGTCGAATGGCGGAATAAAAATTATTTTGATCAACTCAAAGTAGGCCCTTAAACGATCCGATTTACTGTAATAAAAGTCGTTATTCTTTGTTGACTGGCTTTTGGGCAAAAAAGTGATAGTGAGTGTCATCGCCGTTGCATGAAAACATTACAGAGGGATGACTGGCACACTTGTTGTAGGCCTGACTTCTCCGCTGTGTGGCTATGACCAAGGGGTAGTGAACCCAAGCGGTCAGGCCGTTGCGTGACAAGCTGGAATAACTCTCACACGCTCCAAGCTGCATTTAAGTGAACTTTTTTCCTCCGAATCAATGCATTTTTGTGGCTTATTTATCTCCCTCTCAGGTTTTACAGCTATCATTGCATAAAAAGCATAATCATCCCGGCGAGGTGAATGTTATGTTGCGTGTTTGTGACCATGGTTGGGACAAAAAAATGTTGGTCATTTTTTTGACTTCTTGCCTCTTTTTGCAGCGAGCAAAATAATTCGCCAGGAGATTTGTCATTTTGCAGGTGCATATTATATATTGCGAAATGCAAGTGCGATATTTAGCAGAGAAGATGTTAACATGATCGCGAAGCGATAAGCCCTACATTAATGAAATCGAGGGCTTCGTTTGATCTACTTTTTAGCGCACAGAAGATGGGAGAATGTTTAGAAATTACTTAAATTTAACTCTCATAAGAATTTGCATGTCGATAATAAATTCTGCTCTGATAAAGACTTGAGTGCCGGTACTACTTAAGTGCAATTCAGCATCCCATATGACTAAACTTTTTGCTCACTTCAAATCAACAATCACTTAGCTCTCCTGATTTCAGAGCAACCCTATTTGCAAGTAAAATGCTGCCAATGTATGATTTGCTACCACACTGGCATAATGCTAGTCATAAATTCGTCTACTCCTTTTGCTCCTTCGATGGATATACATATAATTTACAATCGCTCCGTTTCTTAATTAACCCCATCTCCGTAGAGACCTGTGCTACTTTTTAATTAAAAAATTTACAAATAAAATCCAAGCGCATTATTTTTTAGCCACGTAGATGTACTATTAGTTCGAAAAATTGCTAAATTTGTCCACATTCTGGAAAATTGAAATTTGTGGACAGCTGTTTAATGAAGCCGAGTTTTTAAGTAGCAGAGCAACCACCTACAGTAACCGTAGGACGAAATCGCTGGACAAGTCATGAATACGGCTACTGAACAGAGTCATTAGTCAGTACCTAAAGGACATATTTTGGCAACGAAGCCGTTGTGAACAAGTGCAACGATGAGTGTAAACTTCAGCAACAGGATTGCTGTTGATCGTTTTTGCGATCTCGAGTAGCATTATCTGCACTTTCTCTCTCTCGAGGGTGACTGGGGGTAATACCAAGGGTACATGTGTTTCAGTGGGCAAATCCACCCAAATGTGATTGGACATTGGGTGGTTCTTTGAAACGTAATCATGCCATTGCCTTTTTTTGCAGGATAGGACACTGTCAGGAAGATGAATGGCGTACGTGTGCCTGTAGGTTTGGATAACAATCACGTCGTTAGTAGTGCAACCAGGACTTCATCAGTTGCAAATACCTTTTCTCTACTCTATACACGGTGGATCACGAAACTTGCAGCTACTCCTTACACCTTTTAGCCACACGTCTAGTCTACCATCCCCTCCCCTTGGTGGGGCTGCAAGTACTCTGACCACAATGGTAAAGGAATGTCCCTTGCAATTGCTCATTACTTTAATTACTCCTAAAGAAGGGAATTCGAAGTGTGCCATCACTGCCTAATGCCAGTTTGTTCTTCCAAAAAAGTTCGAGAGAGTCAATGTGAAAAGATAAAGTTTATTTATTTTTTGCAAGGTGCGCCGCTACAATGACCTCAATACTCTACTAAAACTTTGGAGTATACCTCATTATCCTTGAAAATATCCATTTTTCTCCAAAAATAATATACAAGACTATCGCTAAACATCCATTCCATACATTCTCGTAGTTGATGCGCTTTAAATGACTCCAAATCAAGAGTTGATAACTTGAAGTGGATTTTATTTTTGCAATTTCCTTTGCAAAAGTTTGCGGTTGTTTATTTTAGTTTTGTGTGCAAAAGCTTTTCGTGATTCCTTTGAAGTTAAGAGAGAAAGGAATTAAGAAAACAACTTGTTCGGCAACTTATCTTTCACTGCTCATATGAAATAAAAAAGGAGTCTAATGAACCAAATCCTAGTCCCCAAAAAACGAAACGATCAAGACCCGCCTTCGCCACTTAAAATACCACTTTTGGAAGGTCGTGGAAAAACTTCTTTTAACTCTCGTTGTTAGCATTTAGCAAGTGTGTTGGTTTATGTTCATCAGTAAAACAACTTGTGGTGGTTGAAACCTCTATCGACATCCAGACTTAATTGAGGTGACACCTTTTTGAGCAAAAGTTGAGGAATTGTCCTAAGCGAAGTAACGTTTAGCCTCTTTAAACGTCAAAGAACAAGAGGTCCGATGTAAAATTTTACACGAAGAATATATGAGTTCTGGGCATGCCAAGTAAGTTGTCCACTGGCATTCCGGTCATTGACAGCTGACCACCACAGATAGGAATGGCGCGGGTCTAAGTTAGCATGCTTGGAAGGTAAGCATGCACTTGATTAAGAGCTAGTGCTAAGGGAAACTGTGAGTAACTGGCAACAAATCGGTACTTCCGTCCCAGAGTTGCAAGGAACGTGGGCTACCTGCTAGAATTTCGGCTTGTTGACTACCTATCTTTAGACCTGTCGCAAAGAAAGCCAGGCTAGTGAAAGAAAAAAACGAACCTCAGGAATTTCATCGGATCCGCGTCCGTTTTTTACCTACCCTACCCTTTGGGCTTCTAAAATCCTTGTGTCTGTGGGTTTGTGTGCGTGTGTACGTCTTTTACCTTGTCAGCGGTCAGTATTTAGAGACAAGTTAGGACTTTTTGTATTGCTACGTTGGAGGGAATGTAAAAAAGCCTACTCCTGTGTATGTGTCTCAATCTAAAGGGCTTTTTGACTTTCTCCAAGTTCCTCTCTCAAATCGTGGCTGGATACCTAAGTCCCTACATGGCTAAGGCGCCAGCTACTACGCTTTTCCATTTCCATGGGCCTATCTACCCATCTAGCCTTATAATTAGGCGTCTCTGTTGACATTTTCACCTATTTTTCGTTCATTTTATCACCTGCATAGTTGTTCATCTGTCCATTCGCCTTTTTATCCATTCATCTATCTATCAGCGCAACCATTTGCTCACATCTCTGCCACCCACCGAACTAAATGCCCATCTACCTGTCTATCTACTTAGCAAGCTATGCACATCCCATCCCTACCTCTCTACCTATTCCCTCATGTACCTAATCTAATCAACCATTAGGTTTGTGAATAAGAATAAACCCCAAATCCAAGACTCTATGCAACTTCTATCCTCAATGATGCAAACCTACACTTTTGCTTTCCATTCTCTGACTTAAATGTTGCCATATTTAACAACCAAAGCATCTTATTTTCTTAGTAGAAATTACCGAGTAAGTTTCAAATGCAAAATCCATTTTGGTGGAGAAACAAAAAAGAAGTGGACAGTATTTTTTAGTTGCGTGACTTCTGATCCGTGAGACGTTGACTCTTTCATCAGCTTACCTGGAAATCCTCTTTTTCCGCCAATATTTGCAAATAGAAAAACGACCGTGTATTTTTCTTCTAATACTACCGCATCTACAGTCTAATGGAACGTACTTTGAGAAATTGTATGCTTTCGACAGCCCCAAGTGCCTCCTCTTGACACCTTCCGTATTTCCAGCGAGAAGAAGAGAAATACTGACTGTCGTGTCAAATGGGCTAGGCTGTCTCCAGCTTCACCTTAGCGGAAGTTGCCAACTGTCAGTCGCAGTGACAGCTGCCATTTTTACGCCTCGTCTTCGGCCAGGGGCCATCACATTTGACCTGCTGCTGGGCTGAATGCGCGCATGCGCTCACCCACGCCACCCACAGTGAGTGTGTCCGGCTTTGACACGCGATGCACACCCTGACCCCCGAGTCAATTTCGCGTCAATTAGCGCGGTTTTTGCCCGCTGACCTTAGCCTGGACACCGCGGATAATAAAAGTATGCGCAGGAAGATGGGATAATCTACTTCACCAGCTAACACCGCCCCAACATGGGCACGTGGAAATGTGCAATTTTATTCATTGTGACACCACAAAAGAAGTTCAACATACCTGATAAGTATGCCTTCTGAAGGGGAGTTTTATTTGCTTATTGAGTTAAAAACAATCAAAAGTTAAAAAGTGGACTTGGCTTTATGAATCAAAGCACAGGGGAGTGGTGGGTGATAAGATAACAGCCATTAAAAACAAATCTATTTTAACTTTAAATCCACTAAGTGACTATTTTAGTATTCACGATCAAGTGGTCACTTGTTGCAATCGTTTTAGTTGTGCATTCATCTATTTATTCACTTATAAATTGTTTTCCTGTGTTGCACTATTTACAGTGGGACTGGGAGACATTCTTGCCTCATTTCAAGCCGAGTTGACAATTTAGCTTAGGTAATTAACCAATGACACGCGCTTCCTGAAGATAAGGCTTCACGAATAATTCGTTGCAAATTTGTTTAAATCACTCAATTGTGCGGTACTTAAAGCAATGAAATGAACTATGGGTTTGGACCTTACTTTAAAAGTCAACGTCTCGTGTGAGTAGTGAATGAATGGAAGAAACATTAAACAAAAAACAAATTTACTTTAAATCCATAAACATAAATGGATATTTTAGGTTTTGCCACCTTTCATCAGGTTCGTTAGTGCATATTTCACCCCTAAAATTTCAAACTGGAGATACGTTAATGTGGAACCAGTGGATTGGTGGTTTGTGAGTGGAGCTCGTCTTTCATTTAATTAATCACTTTTACCCCAATAGTACTGATTAATTAGCAATTTTCTGCTATTACTTTGGTAATTTATTGCGTTATTTATCAGTTTTCATGTGTTCCACTGCTCACAGTGGGACTGGATGACAATCTTGACACCCTTCGGGGCAAAATTGCGATTTAACTGAGTTAATTGACCAATGGCTAGCATTGTCGAAACAGAATGTTTTGTTTACATAACTGTTATGCAGAATCCTTAAAGTAATGAAAGTAAAAAAGCTGTTTAAACTTCAGAAATCTATGCTCCCTATGAGTGGTGAAAGATAGGGGGACATTCAATAAAAGCAGAGTTGTTTTTAGTTTTATGTTCATGGATTAAGTATTTCAATAATTCCTGCTTTTTATTGGATTAGTTAACACCCGTTTTACTCCTGGACTTTCAACCTGAAGATTCATTAATGTAAAACCAATAAATCGATAGTTGGGGTGAGCGGATCTCCGCTGACACTTAATTAATCGATTTCGCGCTGGTATTGTTGATTGTTTGGTCATTTTCTGCCATTTTTTTAACCTTCTATCCGTTTATTTAGTCATTTGTTTATTTTCTTATGTATTACTAATTACTTTGGGACTGGATGACATTCTCACGTCCTTTTAAACCGAATTTTTGACTTAACTGAGGTAATTAACTAATTGCGCACATTTTCAAAAAAAGATCTTTTACAAATGGTTATCTATGAATTTGCTTGGATCACAAAAACGCAAGACGCTGAAAGTAATGAAATGAGCTATAAGTTTGGACTTCACTTCAAAAACCTATGACCCGTGTGAGTGCTGGGTGACACGGAAGACATTTGATAAAAAATAATTCAACTTTATAAGCGTAGATAAAACAATCTGACTACTACTAGTTTTCGTCGTATCTGGTATCACCTGTTCCACCCCCAGACTTTTAACCTGGAGAGGCGTCAATAAATTGACATTTTGTTTGATTGGGGCCCACCTAGTATCTATTTGATCAATTTATTCATTTAATCCACCTATTTATCTATTTACTCCTTTTTTGTTGAGTTTTGTGTTTCACCATTAGCTGTGGAGCTGGAAGATATTAACGACGTCTTTTAAGGCCAAACGGCAATTTAGCTGAGTTTATTAACCAATGGTGCGCACTCTCGGAGCAAAATATTTTACGAATAATTCTTTAAAAAATTTTTGTTAAGTCACTGAAATACACGATGCTTGGAGCGATACAAGAAGCTGTTAGGTTTAATTTTCACTTCAAAATCCATGCAGAGAGGAGGTGGTGAGCAATAGGGGGCATTCAATAAAATCAGATTTACTTTTAAATCAAAAATAAATGAATAAATATTTTTATTGAACAATACCTTTCATATTGTCTGGTAAAAGCGGTTCCACCCCTGGAACCCCCAAACTGGAGAGCCAATGAGTAATTGGTTGGTTGAGTGAATCTCCCTTGATATTTACCTAATTTTACCATAATCACTTGTCACTTTATTCTTATTTATTTACTTCCTTGTGTCTAACCATTCACTGTAGGACTAAATGACATTTCTAAGCCTTTTTAGGCCAAAATTGCTCGTTAATCTACTTAATTAAGCAATCGCTCTATTTTCCCAAATGAAATATGTTTTGAAATAATTTTTATTAATTTATTTGGTTTCTCTTATACATGATGCTCGAACTGACGCAGTGAACTATAAATTCGCGCCTTGAAAGACTGAGGTAAAATAAAATCCTAGATGCATTCCCATGGCAACGGAATTCGTACTTCAGTGGGTAAGCAGTTTTACAAATTTTCCATTTTTTTAAAAACTAGAATTTTTTGAGGAGAAACTTAGTAGAGTGGCGTTAAGTCTGTAAGGCTGTTACGGCCACAGGCCGAATGCAAACACCACGAATAGTGGGGAAGGGACTCTCCTCTCGATAGAGTGGAGAGCAGCCCAGGCTGGTGGAGGGTTCATTGAGCAGCGATAAATCTTCATTATTGCACGAAGAGGAAAACGCCAGACATTGAAAAAAGCAACATCAATAAAGCCAAGTAGATGCATTTTCATACAAATTTTTTATGTAGATTAATGGTAACCAGGTCGACGGCTAACAAGCTCCTCCAGTTTAGGCAGTTTAGTCGTGCTCTTGTTTTTTTTGCCATCCTAAAACGGCTCAACAAAATCCCATTACCGGTTAATAAAAACAATTACCTAGCCTTGATTTTACCAAAAAATGCTATTATTACAGGGGTGTTTTAAACCCCCCGACATACTTCAATTGACAGAAAACCATTCACGTCATCCGGTTCAACCAAAATGGATGAATAGTTTGCATCATAAGGTGTGAAGGGTCGAAATATTAGCACATTTTTAGACTGGAGTTACCTTGAATTGAAGGGCTTCACCTTCGCCTTCCTCGACCTTTTGACCTTTAGAAACTCTTCGCATATTTAGCAGTGATAGACAAGCGTAAAATAACCTTCTATAATCGCTTCTGTGGTGCACAAGCTGGGGAAATTAGTTAACAGTTGAATGATTGATTGAAAAGAGGTTTTTCAGTACTCGAAATAAACTTTTGGTTCTGCGAATCGTTCGTTGGTTTGCACCCAACCAATCAGAAACACTGATAAATTCATTTCAACCAATCACAATTTAAGTAATGCTTACGGTGCCGACTCTAATGAAAATGCTGTTTGAGTTTTTGTCTGTCAAATAAAGACTTTTTATTGTTTGTAAAAGGTGTTTATCCACATTACCCTGCATAGTTGCTTTACTGTGGTTGTTATGTAACTCGTATATCTATTACAGCTGACCCTTGACCTGGCCTTTTTGAACTATCAAAATGAGACTGGCAATTCACCAGAATCTCCTTATTACCGTTAAGTAGATCTTTGCTGCAGCCTTACTTTGTCATTCCTTCAGCCTGTCAGTGCAATAACCACACCAATACGTGTATGTTCGACATCAATCTCTATCGCAAGTCGGGCGGTCGTTCTGGCGGCGTTTGCCTCAGTTGTGCCCACAATACTGAAGGCGTAAACTGTCACGAATGCATCGCTGGTTTTACTCGACACCCTGGGCACTCTATTTTTTCACCCAGTGCATGTCAAGGTCACCATCAGTGTTGTACTTAGTTGTTGTGCTTGGTGTTGTATAATGAGTCTCAGCATGGGTGTCCAAATATTGTATTTCCGTGTTTTCCTCCTCACCCCTTTCCCACACCGTTTATGGAATTTGGATCGGCAACAGCCTGTGAGTGCAACCTGCATTCGAATTCGTGCACCTTCTCGCAGCACCTCTACCTCCTTTCGAAGAAGGTGAGCGGCGGTGTCTGCGAGGACTGCCGGCATCATACAACCGGTGAGAAATGCCATTATTGCACTGAAGGATATTATCGTGACTGGACCAAACCTATCAGTCATCCCAGAGTTTGTCTTAGTAAGTTGTTTTCCCCTATTTGACATTTGGTCGCATCAGACAGGCAGGAAATTTAATCTGTTGAATCAGTAGACTGCGGTTGCAATTATCTCTTTAAGACGGTGTCGGACTATGAATAACTTGTTCTTACTTCAGCAATTTACCCAATACGAGCTTGTGTAATTTATTTCGATCAACCGAGTAATTTTTGAATTTCGCCATCCTTTTAATTAATTACAATTAAAAATTTTCGACTTTCATGACCTAGATTAAGCCGTCTGTTCCAATTTCGAGAAGCAACGTTTACACGTATGATTAGGGCGCATTGTTACTAAATTAAAGAGCAAAAATTGTAGTCTGAATATAAGCTAAGCACTTCAAAGATTCATTCACCAAGGCTCTAATCAGGCCGTCTAGAGCCGACATAGAAGCCTTTTTGCTTTGGCCTATTGTCTACTTTTCCCTTACAGGTTTATCCTGTCACCTGCCCTTACGCTTTGCAGGGCATGATAACTGTCGTGGCTAAATGTTGTCTACTCGTTCCATAGACGCACTCAAAACACAGACGTATGCTCGTTTTTTACTCCTTTCTTCAGAATGTCAATGCCACCCGATTGGCTCGATAGGCAATCGACCGTGTGACCGGAAAACTGGGCAATGTCACTGCAAGCCCGGGGTCACGGGTCAAACTTGCAACCGGTGCTTGGACGGCTACAAGCAGACACGCTCCAAAATCACACCTTGCGTCAAAGGTAAGAAGATTTCACTCCTGAATTAGCCAATAGGCGGGAAGCTCTCCACACTGCTGTGGGTGGCAATTAGGTGAACGAAAACGAGTTGAATCGGCGACACAGATGAAAATGAAATTTTTAGAACTGTGCAAATGTTTTTGTGTTTCTCTTGGGTGTGCTGTCCATGTCCTTGTAACGCCGAATTCGGCCAAATTGTGGCGCACCGGAGGTCGGTCCTCGGTGCCTCCGAAAAATATCGATTTTTGCTGGGGCTAGGCAAACATCCCATGGTGCCCTTCAACCTGCATCGATTTAGAGGAGCTCTTTAATCCTTATTTATTTAATCATTCAATAAACTATGAATTTTACTTAGTCACAGTGCTTTTTAACATAAAAACTTTTCGAATTATCAAATTGTCAATGCGATATGGGCGGTAGAAAAGATAAAATGACCACTTTTAATGAACCTATCATCTTCGGAGGGAGACTTTTGAGTGCCAACCATCCCATAGGGTCCAATAGAAAAATCTACTTTTTATCCTGCGGCTTTAATTCCTCCAAAATGTGTTGTATGCAGAACGTGTTTTATACAAAACAGTTTAGTGTATCGAAAAAGGTACTTCTCAGAGTGCCAAAGACCAGACTGGAATAATTTCGTGCAAAGTTTGAATGGTTTCCTCCTCAGTGACTACAGGAATTGATCGAAGTAGAACCTTCTTAAATGAAAGTATAGTGTCTTGTGAGGAGCCACTCAAGATCGCATGATTATGAGAGGGTAGCAAGCTGCCTAAAGTAGGGAATAACCTGACTCAAATGTCATAGTTAAACTAGCATTTCCACTAAGCTTTGTAGATGGTTTTTTACCTTCTAAGTAGAAATGATAAAAGGAGTTTTGGTTAATTGCACAAGAATTAGGAATGCCATTTTCCTCTTCATAAATGTCTTTAAAAGTAGTCAGCTTTCTGTGAAACCTCGTAAGTTAGTAGTCGTCTCTTCTTGCATCATTTTTCAAGTGTTCCTTTTTGATTGTGGTATGGAAGATAAAACTAATGTTAAACATTTCCTCTCCAAAGAAGTAAAGGTATGGAAAAAAGGGGAAGGGGTGAACTTATTAACTTTTATTCATCTCGCGCCACCCTGTTTTGTCGCTTTCCCTTGCAGCGGTGGAGGCCTTGATTTTCACTGGGTCGGCAACACGATGTAAGTTTTCTCTCTCTTTCGCCCTTTTCTGTGGATGCATGCTAGTGTGAGTGCGTGTGTTTGCTTCTACGGATGATTTATTCGTGCACGGAGCGTCGTCGTTAGCCAATTTTTCCCCACCAGTCTACCCATTATTTTTTCGGTACAACATGTCCCAAAAGGGCCATATGGCTCCAACCTCAGTGAGAACACAAACACCGATGCTAGAAGGACAAGACTAGCCTTGAGTTGACTTATTTACAAAAAAATTATTTAATAATAAGTGAGAGTACTTATATATGAGGATTTACGAAGCGAGGTGAAAGAGTATGTACCGAGCAGTGAGTTACATGTGTCGGGAGTTATCACCCATCACTGTACCATTCATATATTTAAAAGTTGGGTTGTAAAATCCCACAGTCCTACAGCAAAAGCCACGAAATTCCGAATTATCTCGGGTACCGATTTACAAAATTGAGTCCGCAGAGTAAAATACTCTACATTGGTTGTATCAACTAGCAGTTCCAAAGTGTTTTGTGAAATACGACCTCTTAACTCCTCGAAGCACCTCATGATCGTATTTTTTTCAAAGAAGGCCAGGGCAACTTCATGCTCGGATTGTAGAAGTAACTAAGGGACTTTTTTTAGTCCTATGTACACATTATCCGATTTGTCATTTCCATGCAAACAGAAGTGGCAGAAGTTCCTACCAAGGGAAGCTCTAATTTGCTGGGCACAAGAAAGCATTCCGTTATGGTACTTAATGCAGGAGGTTGTAGGAAGAGGCTGTCACGGTGATTAGCGTTTTTTACAGTATGGATGTTTGTAAATGGTAAGAAGTATGGCTAAAAGTGGAGCTCTGAAGGCAGGGTTAAGGGCTTACCATCAACCAGGTATTCACGGTCAAAATCGGACTGGGTTTGAGGACGAATCAAAGGAGTAGTCTGAATGAAGAAGGTCCAAGGCCTGGAAAGGCACATTTTCCGTTAAGTGGGCTGGAAATTTAAACAGTGAAACGAGTCCATAAACTCTGAATGCGCTTGAAGTAGTTATCAAAAGAGGGAGTCAGCTCCTCATTTAGATGAGCAGGTGCTCTTCTAGTGTGCTTGAAGCGCTTCAAAGGGACAAACTTGAAGCATAGCTCAAGGACCTAAATACGCAGTTAACAGGAGAGCGCTGCATTGGTTGATAATTTAGCTAAATCCTTCACTTTTTGAGATTGTTCCCGTCACCTCTCTAGCTCACAGTAGCAACAGTGCCTTGCGTCCTCCTTCTTCACTCTTCTTATCGTCCTGACCCCGTTCCGGACGACTAGAGATGCGTGTGCCTCTTCACATTTAGTCTCATTATCACTACCTTTTAAGGGAGTTATCACTAGTTGGTCGGCCTGCCAGCCGGCTGCTTATATGCCCTTCTCTCGCCCCCTCAGCGTGACTAATAAGCTAGCAAGCAAACGAACTAACTAACCGACTGGGTGACTGCCTTCCTGCCCGCCTGCCTGACTCGGTTCGTTTGCGTTTTTTCCACACAGCCTCAATAACATAAGCAACATCCGAAGCAACGGCAGCAACATTCAAAATGGGCCAGTTAGCGGATATGAGAGAGACCGAGTGAATAAAGCCCAAAGTTCTCACCACTTGACGCAGCAGAACCTCGTGCAGGCTCGGAAGCACGTGCGCACACACCGACAAATCCACACATGCTGATACTGAAACGACCTTGCTTTTGATTCCGTCTGATCTTGCCTGGTGGGTAGACCGCAGAACTTTTGTCCAATCGGTTGCGAAGATATCTAGAGGGCACATGTGTATGGAATTTTGGCATCCCGCATTGTATCAGTATATACAAGGTTTAATGAGAAGTGGGTGGCGAAATTCTCTACAATAGCCCTTTGGTGTAGATCGACTGGTGGTAAGAGTCCGTCCGAAGTCATCAGTGACGGTGTGATGCAATGAAATGGCGCAGCACATTAGAGCGACCTTTGAGGCTATTCCAATCCATGCAGGCTTAGCTCACCTATCCTGTTGCTTTTCAGCATAGATGGAATGGAAGGGTGCATTAAATCTCACCCCCAGATTCAGGTCTCTTTTGGGGTTCATCCACTTCCACCTCACTTATCCTTCAGTAGCTAGGAAAGATGTCTGTTTATACTTTGAACAGCCCGCATAAGTACCCTTTTAAAGTACCGCTAATGAGGTACATTAATTCCTCATTCTTCGAATCAAACTCCTCCGATGGTTAGCCTTCCAGGAGGTAAAGCAAATCCATTAATGCGAAACGGTTCCAGATTTTTCGCAAATTAAACCTTCTTGGATGGTTCCCGAGCAGGTCACAACTGATTGCGTTTACTTCGTCACCTATTCACAAGTTCAGCGCTTTAGGCGCTATAAATCCGCTTCGGAAAAATCTAAAGAACATCATGTAGAATGCTAGAAAAAATGTCAAACTGTAAATTTGGTATTTTGGGCAAGAAAATAACAAGGGAGGATTTAAACGAGTCTCCCGACTCTTGTTTAAATGTGCTAAGGCTTAGTTACCGGATTCAGGTAATATGGGAATAGACCGTGACACATTACATATATTCCTTTGTTTCAAGGTCGACGATCACAACCACAATTGAGTTGGGCGGCTTTAGAGGGAAATGAGCAAAACAAAGAAGCGTAAATAAATTTATCTTTTCTATCTTATTATAGCGTCGTCGCATCCAGCAATCGTTAAGGAGGCAGTCGGAGGTGAGTTAATCGGCACTTTTTTGGTTTGCTATTATCGATAAGTCAGGTGTAATTTAGAGCTGTGATTCTGGACTGAGGGATTTTGTAAAATTTGCCCCAAAGCACAATTAATGAGTCACTAGCGCTAACGCTTGTGCATCATTCATTCACCGAGGGGACGGGGGGGCGGTGGGCAAAGGAAGCACAAATTACAGACCTCTGAAAAATCCTCTTATAATTCTTTTTTGCAAAACTGTCGGTTTTCGTGTCAAAAGTGGAATGTGATATTTATCCACCGATTCGTTGTGACACACTGCAAGCCTAATCCGCTCTGTGTAGGGGTTAGAAGACCGGCAGTCATCATTACCGCGGCCAGCTGCATCTTGGGTAATAGGGTAATTTGTGTATCCACCTAAAATGAAATTTACTAGCAGAAAATAAAATTCATTTCAATTATAACAGCAATTGAATGGTTTGTGAGAGTTTCTAAAACAACGGACTTCACTCTGCGCAGTTATCGCTATATCCTGTAGTAACAACAACAGCAAGAAGGAGAGGGATGAGAGCCACTCTGGCAAGAACGAATAAATTCCCAGATAAAATGCCAGCACCGCTGCTTCTGTAAATAACGATTTGGGTTTTTTTAGCAATTAAAACACTGAGGTTAAATAGCAGATTTTTTTGATGATAAAAGTGAGTCATTTTCGGAGGCAATCGGTCTGTCAACAACTTCGAATATCTGTGGAACACTGTTCTAGAATGAAAAAATGAAATGGTTGATCTATTGTTGTAACAAAACAATAGCTAATTCTTTCTCTTACTTTACAATAAATGGAAAACCTGGCCAGGAAAAATTCAATTATGGCTGGAATGCAATGTTATAATGCCAAGACCCGGTAGTTTCTGCTTGATTATACCACGCGAATCGTTTAATATCTCCTTAAATAAGCAGAATTAATGAATAATTCTATTTTAAAAACTTATGGCGCAATTTTTGAAACTCTTTTTTGGTAAGATAATGTCCCCTTGAACTAACGCAGCAAGAACCAGTGTCATCCCCTGGAAAAAAAACAAAGTATAGACGATTAGGAAACAGGCTGTGGAAACAGCCACCGCGTGGAACAGCCGTTGGCCTGACTCAACGCATGGCCCTCACACCCATAAAGCAGTCATTTTCAACAATTTATTTGTGATTTGCTGACAGGACAATAAATAATCCAAGAGAAGGATGTTAGCCACACACCGCCGCTCCACAATTTGGCGCAAATTAAATATGGAGCAGCAAAAACTTGGCAGAAAAAAATCCCTCCCGGGATCTTCTGTTTATAACACCTTGGATTAGTTCGATTCGTTTCTACGACGATGTACCTCCCATCACTAAGCTGATTCTCTGTAATGTACTCCCAGCTTCATATCCATGAAAAGCAATGAGAAATTTTCTCTCTCACAAAACCAAATAAGAGGTCTGAGTGGCATGGAATGCCATGAGTTATCGCGTAAATTTTTCAGTTCTTCTTGATCAAATACCTTTTTCACAATGATCCTGTGAAGTGTTTGGAGAAGACTTCAAAGAATGGAAGTGTCTGTGTGTTTGCATTGTTGCATCAATCGGGCTGATGTGGAGGCAAGGAAAAAAGGAATTTCTTGCGTAAGAGATGGACCGAAATCCGGATCTGTCAACAGGCGCGTTCGCTTGATATCTGGCCACTTCACCTCCAGCTAGCACCCTGTATCTGAGGTATAAACATGCGCAAATTCCTGGTCCATACAAGCTTGCAAATGGGAACGCCTTCGACAAGGCTATGACGCGAAGCGACCATTTCTTGGACACAGATTTTGTAGTATTGCCTACTGTTTAGGCGATGAAATTGGAAAAGTAGGAAGAAGGAACGGTAGTTTGGAGCATTCCATGATATCCTTTTGTAGTGTCCATCATTTGCATTTGCTGATATCATTGTGGACATCTCAAAACCCTAAGATGACGTCGAGTTTTCTCTTGAGATTAAATTTAGTTAGTGGCAATTTCAAGGATTAAAGCCTCCAAACTCTTATTAACTAGTGCAAATTAAGTATGGGTGGCTTCGTCTCGAAGTTAGCTCAAGTTTTACTTCTCAGTATGCGTTCAAAACTTGAACGATTCCTTTTGTTTAAGGCTGGGACTGTCAAATTATCATCTCAGTGACTAAAAACTAATAAGTACATTTCAACCCTTTTTTTAAGGGTTTGGAATTTTTCGCAAAATTCTCCCTTGCCTATAGGTTTTCTTAAAATATTCTGTGAGGATAACATAATTCTTACCTGATCAGATAATTGACGCATTCCTTTTTTTGGAAAAAGTGGCCTATGAAATCCAATCCAAATGGTACTGATTTGAATAAATTTATCCATTTTAACATAAATAGTGTGCAATTAGCATAGAGAGAACAAGTTAACCCCCAAAACTTTTGTTTTACTTCACCGATGGACCTAACCAAATGGTTTGGCCAGATGCGTGCTCCTGATTAAACGTAGACCGAACAAAAACGAATTATTTGGTAAAAAGTAACTATGCCATATATTTTCCGGACCAGCAGCAATTCATCCACTCGACTAGGTAGCAGGTAGCCGCTTTATGAGTATGCAAGAGTGCTGTAAGAATTGTGGCTTCAATGAGTTTGGTGGCATGCTTGTTCCGTTTTTATTGACCTAGGGAGTTATCTCCTTTTCGCAGATGAAAAAAGCTCTGGAAAACTTAGATTATGTACTTTTTCCTAACCTCCGTGCATCTGATTGTTTGTGCCTATCAGAATATTCGACTGCTATCTGCCCTACTTCTCCATTCAGGCGTCATCTATCCTTAAATTTCCCATTTTTTGCAATGAAATCAAAAGAATTACTTGTTTTATGTAGTGGACTGCAATAACTGCCTGCTGCCTTAACGTTTTTTGCTCTTTCTGCCGACACAGTGCGCATCCTAAGCAATATCTGCACAACGTCTGCACTTCAAAGTTACAAATGACTAGGCTTCTGTTTGAGAACCCCTGGGCTAATTATTCTTCTGATTAGAAAGACATGTCTTTCCAAGGAGGGAGGGAAAAACCTACATCGGAACTGAATTATCCGCTTTTTGCCAGCGTTTTTCGTGTTCGCGTGGTGGTTTTCAAAGCGCACACGACAAGGAGGGAGAATGAGGGAGGCGTCGTCTTGCTGCAAGAATATGCATCAGGATGTCTGGCCGGAGGTGTGAAAATCACGCCTGTCGTCATCAATTACCGCGGTGTCGCGGGGCTACCGATATGCGCCTCCTCTTAGCCCCCCGTACACCACACACACACGCACTCAGGCAGCACGAAGGGAAGTGTTTACTTGGTGTATAAATTAACCTAAACGCTCACGCAACCACACACATGGGCATGGCCGGGGCGATACACTCATGGATGTTCTGCGGTAGGGTTACAGTGGGCCTTTATAGGTTGCTGTGCTATAAAACTCTCCTCTGCCCTCCCACTGTCTTGGTTTCGTCCGAAACGGGGGAGGTAGTGGGGGATATTGAAGGGCTGTGAAAAGGCACAGAAGTTGGGGAAATTTAGACTGCCGCCATTTGAACACCACTTCTTAGCCTGGCACAGCAGCAGCAGCGGTGGCGATGATGGTGGTTAGATCTGAGGACGCATTCAAAGACCCAGAAGCGAATTAGGCTATTTGATTTGTAGAACATTGCTTGACAGCATAAGTTCTTTCCTTTTCAATGACTTAGTTTTTTTAAGATCGGCGAGCATCACAAAGATGGCCAGATACTTTAGATACAGTGGAGACCCTTCATGCCTCCGGGTGTTTTAAATGGAAGTATTTGGATGGATAGACGAGCATTGAAGGGTCTTCAGAAATCTCATCGTCTCTCCATCGACGTTCTAAATAATTCATTTAGCAAGATTTCCCTACCTCCATGATACTGCAATTACCTCAAAGTGAGAAAAGTCATTTTCTTTAAATAAACCCTAGGAAGGGGATTCGAGGATGTTTCTGGGCAATTTTTAGACGTCCACAACTGTTCTGAAACAGGTTAACTTAAGCAGGAATTCTTTATAACGCTGTTGAAGCATTCCATAGGCATAGGAAACGAAACGAAGGTTTTCGACAGGTAGGAATCAATGCGTTCCCTTCAGTTTATGAAATCGTCAATGTCTGCAGAAATTGGAGGCATTTAAGAAGATTCTGAATTTTTGATAGATTGGAAATTGCTTCTGGGATTGCTTTTATGCATGAACCATTAAGTGGCAACGTTTCAGCTTCCTCTAATTGAACTGATCCCTTTTTTCCCCTTTAAATTTTTATTTTTACTAACAGGCAAGAACTTTTACTAAAATATCAAAACACTAGTGATTAAAATAGAAGATGGGTTTTCGACATATGCCGCAAAAAAACCTTGAAGCAGAAAATGCTGCCCTATCTTCTGGATGGAGGAACGCTGGTAGATCCTTACACGGTGTCTGTTGTGAACCGCAGCCACATCGCCGAAGGTTGTTGAGGCGTTGACAACGTCTGCCAGACGGAAGTTTGGTGTCCACTTCTGTGGGCATTACTTATGGGAGGTTTGTAAACTATCTCAAAGCGAGAGAGAGGGAACATCATCTTGGCGTTTGTGCATTTCCTTTGAAAATGCAACTGCATTAGTCAGCCCAAAGTAAAAACTTCAAGTCTTGGGTACCTACAATATTTCAGACTTCTAACCATTCTACCAAGTGAATAGGCATTTCAAAAGGATGTAGTTCTCCAGCATCTTGATTGGATTGGATTGGTAAATCGTCGCCAACCCCTTTGAGTACCCTATTTTTAGATCGCAAAGTAATATCATAAAATTGTCTTTTCCTTCTCTCACTTCTTCCTCTTCTCATGTTACAGATGAATCCTGTCCACCCTGTGAGAAGAACAACAAACGATTTCGATTTAAGAAGTTCTGTCGACGGCAAGCAGGTAGAGTGGGGAACAAAGCAAATCGGTTATTTCGCTTACATTTGTCACCATGATCCCCTTCCATTTGAGTCCCGCTAACTTGTCTCTACAAGGCATCATAATCTGAGAGAACTGCATCAAGTAACTGCCTCTAATCATCACAATTGGAAGCACACTTAAAAGTTCCCCAGTTTATATGGCACAACGCCCAAAACCATACCAAAAGTGGGGGTATCGCCTCAGGTGAAGCCCGATATTGCCCACTTTATTCCGCCTGGTTAGATTTTTTGACCTGCCTAATTGCAAACACATGTTGTACGGCTTACATTCTCTTGCCACCGCACAAACCTACCATTTAAATGGTGACAAATGCTAAAGAAAAATGCAAAAAAATGGGAATTCTGACTTAGGGAAGGTGTTATTTAAAAGTCAACTTGATTCTTGATATTAGAGGATCACGTTTAACAGATCTGAAGCCATCGCTTTTAGCAACTAGACAGTAAAACTACCTTTATGTGAATGTGTTAGTATTGAAATTCAATTAAAATTGGAAATTTTATGAAATTCTGCAACAAGTGCTGATAAGGTGATAGCTTTAACAGGTGGTGTTCGTCCTCCAGTGTGTTGACACCTTCAACAGCAGCGTCACCCACATGTCTAATGTCTGCTCTCAACCCGCTTAGGATGACAGTTTGTGCCAAGTCACGTAGCAGGCAGATTATTTAACTTTAAAATATTAGAGTAGGTGGCGAATGTCATTTTTCTGGGCTTTGCGTGGTAAAACCATAAATAAACCGTATCTGTTTTTGTCTGTGGTGGCTGATTTCACATTGGAACCCTGGTACTGAGCATTCAGAATTCATTACAATCAATTTTTTACCAAGAGTTTGTTCAGGCGATTCTCTTTAAGTTTGTTAAGGTGTTTTGAACTTTGTTAGCTATATTTTGTAAAACAAAACAATCCATCGTCTATAGTGTGGATTTAAAACTTACTCAACTGGCTTTGAATACGTCTTTTGAGCTATCCTCTCGGTGGTTTTTGGATGATCAAAGTAATTGACAATCCTTCCAATCCCCTTTTTTTAGTTTTCCGTGGAACAGTGATCTCGCAGGTGATAAGAGGTGAATTGGTACGACTTGGTGTGCGGGTGCATGACGTTTGGCGCAATAAGGGGAGCATAGCCCAGCGCTACCTTCCATCTCACGTGCGGCGAAATCAGGCCCCGGTTATCCCTCTCTGGGTGCCTCTCACACACCAGTTGAAGGCCCCACACTCCACCTGTGTGTGCCCTCGCTTCAACACTGACCAGGCCTACCTGTTCATTTCACAGGCATATGAGGCAAGTTGTGTGTCTACTGACAAGCTATAAGTAGGAGTGTATTGTTTCACTTCCTTGTGGTACAGATCATGGATGTGCTTAAATTTGTTGTGAAATGTGGCAAATTCTTCGTGATTGTCAAGATTTTACAGGCATATCGACCCTCTGCTATTTGAATCTTTGCTAATTACGCTCCCAAAACCAACTAATTGTTTAGGCAACTCAACTTGAGGTGCTGTGAGACACACCCCTTTAGAAGCAACTTTTCATAAGCGTACATAAAAATCGAAAGCTTGGTAAAGTGGGTGGCATAGACAAGTATCAGCGCTATCTATATTAGGACTAAACCGTGGAAGATCACAAGAGTTAGCACGTGTAAGCATAAAATTTTTAAATACGCCCCCTCCAAGTACAACCAATCTTAACATTCTCTATGTTTGATCTTTTTGCGACTGCCATAATACAGGGAAAATGGTGAGGTAATAAATGCTTTTAATGGCAGGAATATTGATGGTAAAGATCTTAATTGCATTTACGACCATCATGTTCTTCGGCAGGCAATCCGCTATTTAAAAAGATCCATTAGGGAAGTGATGCCATAGGCAAGATGACGTTTAGGAGTAAGCTCATGTTTTATTGCATACTAGTCGACTTTAACAGCAACGTAATTAAGAAACACCCTGTCTGCAGCTCATTATCAAGCGTCACTTCTTCTGATTCAACCTTTTAAACTGCTCCTCATATAAGATGTCGACTCGTTCAAAGTGGATCTGTCCCCCAAGTTGGGACAGTCAATATGATGCGAGTTCATTAATTCAGACACTTATATAATATGCCTTCTAAGATATTCTGCCGAAGAATTTTTATCAGCGAAGTCGAAAAATGATGCCTTTTTAGAAGTGATTGACCAGCATTGTCACCAGGGTACCGTCAGAGGGGCTTTCGAAGATGGTGTAAAGCATTTAAATCTCTTGGAACATACCCAACCTACAGTTAGCTCATAAAATTACAAAATTTAAGCAGTTGTTAATTTACTGTAATACTAATGGGCTATTAATTTTCTTGCGCAATCTTTTGAAATTTGGTTTTAAGATGCTCACCTAAATGACCTTGAATTCCAAAGTCATGGAAGTGTGTGTCTACTTAAAAATTCAGTAGTAAGTCAAGACAGAAAATATCTGTTATGTATTTTCTACTTTTTACTGGTTTAATCTATTTGGTTGTGGTAATTTGAATTAAAGTGCCATAAATGTGCAAAAAATAGCACAGCATCTCTTCCCTTAAAATCAACTTACCCGGAGATAGGCGTTTTATCACCTTTTCAATTGACCGCCTCTCAATAGGATTAGTGATTTCAAATGGAAGGGCTACATGGTTGGTTCCCCTTTACAGCAACAGTACTGATCACTGAATACCCCATTTTGGAATTATACAGTCGTCGTGATGGTGACAAAGATTGGCACTCTATTCTCTTCCCCCTGAACCGGCATTATGGATTATGGTTTCAGCATCCATTATCACCACCTGCAAATGCGGATCTCCCATACGTCTGGGCTGACAAAGCCGGAAAAATAGGTCGGTTTATTACAAATGTAGGCACAAAGATGTACAATACCTCAGTAGAGACATCCAAGATGCATTTGGCACTCCACGGTGCCATTTCCACTCATAAGAAGGACAACAAAGTTGCGCCTTCACTTCTTATTTCCTGTAGATATACAAAATGCTGCCTGATGTAACCTTTAAAGGCCTTTTAATTGGCGTACAACATTTGAAGTGAAGGTCTATGCATCGCCGCGAACGCCGGCTGGAACTATTTCCTGACAAGTGATTAAGGTCGACAATAAAGAGCACTTTTCCCGTTAAAAATCCACCTTTTCATTTTTAAAAGACCGATTTTGTCGGTAAAATGGAATGGATTTGCAGAGAGGCAGATGTTTTCTCTCAGAGGTAGTTGAACTTGGTACTTCCATTTGCATGTGAAATACATCTAGAGAAAATGCACTTTCACCTCCTTTTCACTCTTTTTTGCATGGGAAAGACATAAAAGACGCATTGCAGAGCAGTCGTTTATGAATGCTTGAAGCTCTTGAGTGATGAGGAAAACGACATTATTATTTTTTATCGACAATCTGCCCCAAGAAATGCCTTCTTCCTTTTTTCCTTTTCTGCGAATGAGATGACAATGGGTTTATTTTAACCACCAAAGTTTTAAAAAGTGTATGAAGGTGTAATGTTAATCATTCGTTTAACACTTTTTAAAGTGGGCCGCTCTTCTAAAAACATAACGAATCATGGGTTTTAGAGAACGTTCATCTAGTCTTCGTCGTGACCTTTCAAAATCCCGGCGAATTGACATTCTGACAGATCTAAAGTTGGCGCTCATGCTACAAGATATCGCGAGAAGCGGAATATTGCAGAAGTGAACTGAAATGAAAACTAAAAAACTATCGTGCCAAAGTATGTGGTTAATCATTTGCAACGCTACTGAAATAGACTTCCGCATTTCAGTAGTAGACTAACGTATTATGCTCTGAAGCAAATCAATCAAATTAAGTGCTTTAAAATGAAGAAAATTGCTTAGAATCTGTTTTTCATGATGTTTAACCAAAACATTGTTTATTTGCTTAATGTGTTTTAATACAGTACACAAAAATTCCTACTGACAATTGTTTACAAGCTGTCAGTCACTTTGCACTAATTCGAATCAAAAAGGCGGATTTTTCATTCATTAATGGCATTCAGAGTGCCATGAATTCAATAAAGGCCTTGTAGAAACTGCCTCAAAATAGGGGCTATTCTACCATGCCTATCTCCTAATGCCAAATGCAGCATACGAATCTGGTGGTAGTTTGAACGGCGGCATACACGAGGACTGTAACACTGGCTGGTGTGAGCTGGCCTCCACGCTACCCTCTTACAGGATGACTCTAAAGGATTTAAGTCGTCAAATATATAATTTAACCTTTTTCTCGCAGTTCTGCCATCATTTTGAGCACTGACCCTAACGTTCGCCAGGGTCACGTAAGGCATTCGCGTGCAACACAAACCAGGTGGAAGGAAAGGAAAATTAGGCAGTAATTTCACACCACACTAAGGAGATTTTCAAGTGTGATGATATTACTGATTGTAAAATTTGCAAAGTTTCTTCACGAGTTTCGTCGCAAATACTAGCGGATTTAGGTATCCACAAACGAGGCGTCGATCCCCATTTGTAACGAAATCTGAATGCATCTATGGTGGCAAATCGCTTATTTATCTCAACACCACTTTAGATACCCTATCACGAGAGCAGTGAGCTTTTGCTGGAGCAAAAAAGCACAATATTACCCTGGGTGGAGAGTTGGCGACGACGTCTGATGCGTTTTGCGGTGCGTCAGGAGCGGGGTCGTTGCGACGGTCAGACGGAGAGCGCTTTTCCAAAAGTGCGTATCAATTCGCCGCCACGTAGAAACCTTCTGCATCCTCACAACCCTCTGGCGATGACTTCCAGTCAATCACAACCGTTGCCACAGCCACAGCCCCGCACGCCCCGCCATTACTACCCGTCACAGTCGCGATTCTCCCGTATAAACGCTGCGCCAGCCTGGAACCAATACCACTACCGATCCATGCGTCATGTTGAGGACAATCCTTCTGTTGCCCATGTTCCACCACCATCACTTCCGTCGTCATAATTCGACTCTTCCCTCCTTCCGACACGTGTCATTGTTGTTGCTGCCGCTGCTGTTGTGCTAATTCACTGATGACAACAAACAATTGCATTTGCGTGTTGTGACCTTGATTTTTCCTCCTCCCCCCCTCCCCCTCCTTCCCGTTCGCTTTAATCGTCCAGACAACTGCACACAGACGCACAAAAAGATGTGCTCAAAATAGTCATGATTTGGAGCCTGAATAGCAGAAATAATGGCAATAACAGTGTCCATCTGTCCATTCTAGTTTCTCCCTCTCCTTCCCCCAAGTCGACCCATCTACCCATCATCTCGATTACCCATTCCCATTCACTGTCTTCACATTGATACATAAAAACAGCCATACATTACATACATGAATTCAGAAACCTAGGATGTTTGGTATTATTTAGCAATCGCCTCCTATTTGCCCCATCAAGGGAGTAAGGGTGTGCACCCTACCCCGAGGGTAACAAGGCAGATGGAGATAAAGTAGTGGCAGTAACGTAAGTAATAAACAAAATGGTGGTAGCTGAGAACTACAAGCCAACGCATTACCAAGAAGAGGGTTCCAGCACTTGATGTCCTTGACGGTTTTCACAACTACGTCTCTGTTCGGAGGAAGTGGATGCAAACCCAATACGAGAATGTCCATTCTCATTAAGGTCACTAGACGATTGTGGAGATTTATTCGCCATGCTTTGCTGAAGACGGAATTATTATATACAATGGGGACATTCCGCTTCCAAATAATTGAATCTTGTCTAAAGTGGCCCCCTGACAAAATGTGCTACATTCAACCTTCTCTTTCATTCGCATTAGCTTTTCCACCGCTTTGTGGCCTCTCTGGATAATTCTCAACCTTTAACAACACGTCGAGGCGTCAATTCTGCAGATTATGGCTTTGTAGTGTCGTGAGACAACCGTGAAGATGAAAGGGTAATACATGGTCAGAATATGTATTGTCATCGTAGAGAAGGGCTGGGAGCTACTGACATAGCCTAAAGGCAGAGCTCAAAGTGCCCACGTGACCAGAAAATGAGTTTTACAAACAATAAAAGTATTAGACTTTCATGGACTGACTTCGATTCATTTGCATTCAGTTCCGCCGCATTGCTAATCAACATACAGGACTTGAGGGCTGATGCAGTTTTCAAGCCTTAAAGCCTTTCTATTGGGACACTCATCTTATATTCATTATCCTCCCTTGGTAACGCTTTAACACAGGCTCGGACAACTAAATTTAGCTTGTTATTGGAGGTGAAAGCGCTACAGCTACAAAAGTCCAAACCTGGAATGTTTGATGTTATTTTAAGCGTTTTATCACCTCCGAGTAAATGGTCTTGAGTCCTCACGCGGTTTGTTAAAATGTTTGCATTAATGGTCACCACTACAACTCATCTGGGCGGTAATAGATGCGGGCATTTTTAGCCTTTTTAAAAATATTTCAAAGTCTTCCAGTACTCCTCGAGTTCATTCAACCTTCCTCAATTAGACCATTCAAGTCGATTACATGTACCTTTTATCATAGGGTAATAAACTAGTGTAACCCATTGAGACGAGATAAGACCTCGTACTAGGGCAGTATATGTATTTCCAAGTTACAGAAGAGCTGGAGGGGAGGGCAGTCGGCATGGCCTCCAGGCCATGCCGTCCAGTGGAAGGACAATGGCTATGCTCTTCAGTGCCCGCGTCACCAGAACGGCGAGTTGAACAAACAATCGGGATAGGGCATTGCCTCCTCATCTTTTAAGCATCGTCCCCAGCGCTACCCTCGGTCAGCCTCCCCCATCGTTCATCGCAAAGTAGTCCATGCTGTAAGAAAAGCACCCACCAACCAATCTCACCAGTCATCAAATGCTCGCGTAACTGAGAAGATATATAACCATAATTTCACCAGTCCTCAATGCCATTTTTTGCATCTGAAGGTTTGTCCTGTTTGGGATTTTTATTGGTGGGGAGAGAAAGGGTTAACCGTTCAGAATTTTTATCACTGGTCTTAAGAACACTACCCTCAAAGCAGGCTCACATTAGTAATGGTTTGGGTTTAAAATGGATTCGTGGCGACAAGGTCTCGCTTCTATTCATTCTTGCCACTTTATTCTCACTTCAGCGCTGTTCAGGAGGGTCGGACGACAAGTAACGCAGAGGCCCGTGTCATTAATGCGGATTCGTGCCTAAAGAGAAATCGCTGTATCCATCACTCGGACGTGGTTTTTGAGCCTGCATCTTTGTCTAGTTCTGAATGCCTGAAGACAGTTCTCCAGACTAGATCCCTTTTGAAGTCTGCTTGCTCACTTTGGATAGTGAAACTAATTCCTCCACTCCCTTTCCGTACTTTGTCAACTGGTTTCAAATAATCCCATGTTGTTGAAGATCGGAATCTATGTCACGTACATCACCGCCGGAGTCAACTTCCAGCTCCTCATCCTCCTCTTCAATCTCAGCTAGAGTCTCCATTCTGCCTGTTTACATTTAAACCGTCTACACTGTTTTGTAGAAGAGAGGAAAAAGTAGCTTGCCCACTCAATAATGACACTACAGAGGCACCTTTTAGGTAACTAAGGTACAGGGACAATGCAGCATTCGATGCCTAGGGTCATTGGATGGCAACGGTGAACAATTAATGATTCCCAAATTTTGATTTCTAAATATTTTGGACGGCATACCAAATGTAACCTGGAAATTTGTTTTTCTTTAAAAGCCAAAAAATAACTTGAAAGAGAAATTGACCATCTCCTTTTTTACATTCTAAGTGGTTACTTTTGCCCATGGGAGGGGAAAAACGCCTCCTCTCCATGTGTCGGTAAATAAAACCTGTGGCGGGCAATTGTCGCAGTACTGCTGAGAGCTCTTTTATGAGACAAAGAGGGTTCTACGAATGGGGCGCATATAATTTGCGATAATATAAGTGGGAAGAATGGTCTCGCTGTTGGGTATTTTTGAAGTTAATTTGCTTTCTGCCTAGATAAACGGGAACTATAAAGCACATTCAGTCAAGACCATTTTTTTTCGCATCTACTGTGAGGATTTTAGGGGAATAGCGAACGCCGCAACTACCAGACATTAATAAGCTTTTTTGACTAATCAACTACTACTTATAAATTTAGGGATACAATTACACTTAGACCAAGAGTTTTTCCCAAAGCTGTAATAAAGCGGAAATTGTATTGTTGACGTAGAGGAGGACTGAGAGGCTACTAACACGCCGCCGACCGGAAGTACAGAGGCGAAGCCCTAATTGACTGAGAGATTAAAACGCAAAATTAAACAATCAGAGTATTACATGGCTGTTCTTGCCTCTTGACCATCGTCCCCGGGGCGCCCTTTGGTCAACCTCGCGAGTCCGCCCATCACAGCGTAGTCGGTGCTGTCAAAAATACACCAATGAGAAGATATTCGACTTCAAGGTCACTGACCCTTCTAGCGATTCCACTAGATCTAAAGTTTCCTCCTGTTTGGAAATTGTATTGGGGAAAGGGGAAAATGTGCTGACCATCGCAAACATCCATCGCTAGTAGTAAGAAGTTCGGCCCGAAAGCGGAATCACTTAACAAAAGACGAGATTTAAAATAAATTCATGCGGATAAGGCTTCACGTCAAATCTTTCTTGCCACTTTATTCTCACTCCAGTGCTGCCTAGTCACATCTACTTCTATTCTATCCAGCCAGTAGAAAGATGGAGGAGGTGTTACCTGCTCACCCTCTTGAAATCTTTGCACAAGTGCAGTAGAGAGCTCCATAATTAGCATTTCAGATGATTCACAACTAGTGTCTCTTCAATTGTGAATAGCATTCCAGCAGAATACATGACGGGGGTGGTTGTCGGAGGTAGACGTCATTGTCAACCCTTCTATCGAGAGTTTTCACCTTCTTCCATCAAGTAGTAATTGAAATCAGGGTAGTTGTCCTTCAAGATTGCTGCTGCCATTGTAATACCCAAAGGCTTTTCTGAAGACCTACAGAGGGGCAGAGAGGCCACTGGCATGGTTGGGTGGCTATGCCGCCGAGCGAAAGCGTAATAGCGGAGTCGTAGATGCCCTGGTAATCCGAATGCACAGTAAAACAAAAGCCCACCTCCCGTATTCTTCGTAGTATTTAAAAATAATCCAGCTTAAATGAGGGAAGAGCGTTTGGCATTTAGCTTGTGGTGTGTGGACTCAGGAAGGGTAAACTGGGTAGTCACATGAATGTACCGCTGGAAGTGGCAGTACCAATGATGACCTGTTTTAGGGATCATCTAAAAAAATGTTCTTCTCAGTCAAATAATTTTGTAAATATGACATATTATTCATGTATTACTGGATAGAGTAAGTCAATTAGGCCTACACGAGAGGAGGCAAAGTCCTCCGTCTTCTTGTAGCATCTAATCATTCATTCTAAAAACGTTACTGCAAGACTTTGACAGTTTGTTTAACGCTGTATTTGATTACGTTAGCAATTAACTCGGCACCAATTGTACTTTTGCTCGGTTACGTGGTCTTCGAGCCATGCCAGTGGCCTTAAATCTTCTCTACGTCAGGAATGTGCCTTCTGTCATTCAACTGTGCCTTCTCACGACTTCGGAGGAGCCGGGGTGTTGCATTGCCACTTAAGTGTTCCCCATCACCTATCAAATTGAATTACTTAATGCGTGGCAATCATTTTTGCTAAGAAATATGAATTCTCTTTAAAAAAAAGCAGAGCAAAATAAAGCAGCATTTTTTGAAATGGATCAACAATATATTGAGATTTAAGGTTTAAAGTTAAGTCTATTTCCAAGTGTACCATCCTTGAGAGGTGTACCAGTGCGATTCTAGCCGAATAACTTCAAGCCAGTAGTATTTGAAAACTTTTTTGTGGCATTGCTTTACTCGAATCTGTGACTTAAAAACAGAAATCTTGGTAGAGGAATATGAGGGCAGTTTTACACCCCACACGCACACACACACACACACCGTTGAATGGCGTGGTAATACAGATTGTGTAAAACTGTAGATGAAAATGAAAATGCTATTAAGTTCTCA